GTCTCCCCGTTCCCCAGCATAATAAAAAATGACATTGTTTGACTATTTCCAATCTAAATCTCTCTTCTCCCTTACTCAGATGTTTCTGCCCTGCTCTATTTTACTTGTCTCCGGTATTTTTCCCCCCACTCAGTCCTTCTGGAAGAAAGCATGTGCTGAATATTTCTGTGATTCCTTACAGCTCAGTTCATCATAGCACTACTCAATTCTCCTGCGTGCACACATGCATACGTGGGTGTTTATTTTATATTTTATTTTGCACTCACCCAAAATGTGAAGCCTGTGAGTTACTTCTCAAACCTGTTTATCTATATTTCCATTCAGGTGGAATCCTCTTTTTCGAAGTACTTGTTAGCAGTTTTGGGCTCCATAGCTCTGGTGGCACAGTGGTTAAAGTGCTCAGCTGCTAACCTGAAAGGTCAGCAGTGCAAACCCACTAGCCACTCCTCAGAAAAGACGTGGCAGTCTGCTTCTGTGAAGATTTATGGCCTTGGAAACCCTAAGGGGTAGTTCTGCTCTGTCCTATGGGGTTGCTGAGTCGGAATGGAGACAGCAGTGAGTTTCATTTAGCTCATAATGACCTGTCAGTCCCCCCTTCACTCCTGCAGCTTCTCACTTCCTTCCTGCTGATCCTGCATCTGTCCTGTCACTGGGTGGGGAGGCACACCTGCTAACACTCTGAAATCTGTAGGGATTCCACTGCTAGAAGTATCTTCAAAGATGATCACTTTTTGAAGAGCTGGTTAACCCCAGGCACAGGTGGAGTCATTTATCTTTGAGATGACAGGTTTCTCTTTGCTTGGTGCAATCTAAAAGTGGGATAACTGCAAACCACATTGTAGTCGACAATATTAAAAAGGCAAGCCAGTTTCACAAAGATGTCAACACTCCTCTGGCCTTGTGGGACATGTATTCTAGCTTGTAGATAAGGTTTCTTGGAAAACACAGTTACATGAATCAAGTTTACTCCAAGGGCTGCCCTGTTTATAGGAAGGGCAGACCAGTTCCTCGAATAGTGAGAACTTGGAGGTATTTCTTGTGATTATAAGAATTAGAAAAACAATAGATAAAGCAAAGAATACGAAGTTCTTAAAAATCTAAGAACAAAACACACTTTCAAAATCTACATTAAAGTGAGACTTCCAGTTTCAAAGGAAAATATTACAAGATATCATTAAATATTTAGCACTTCTAAATATGCAAACACCGACTTTACAAAAAATGGTATCATATAAAGCGAGCTGAGCGTCTGAGTCAGTATTAGTGGCTGTCATCATTATAATATTTGAACAAAAACTAAGATTTAACAGTACACAGAGGAATAGGAAAAGCATCAATACAGCAAGCCAGGTAAAATAATACACTTTATTTTAAAATATAGTTTAGCCCTCAACATTTTTGTTATTCCAGCTTTCAACAAGGGCAGTATACGTAACTGGAATGAATACCCATACAAGGTTTTCATGTGATTACATTTAAGAGAACCACCAAACCAAACAACAACAAAAAATCCATTTATTTAGAATAATACAAAATTATATTCTTTGACTATTCCCAAGCACGAGGGGAACAGAGTTGCATTTTCTGGTTCATTTACATTAGCCCTATAAATAAACCTACATTCTCTTTTTCTTTTTTTTTTGGTTGTTGTTGCTGTTATTGTTACATTACAGAAAAAAGTTTCATACCGTAATTAATGCTTAGAAATACAGACTTTGGAGCCAGATAAAATCTTGGTTCAAAGTTCCTTAGCTGTGAAACCTTGGGCAAGATTTGCAGATGAGGAAAATGGAACTTACAATGACTGAGATACTATATGTAATGAATTTAGAATAGTGCCTGGAACTGGGTCGGTAATCAATAACTTAGTTACTACTATTATTCACTATTTTCCCGTAGCTCTCCAAATATTCAATTCCAAAAACCACACACGTAATTGCAGTCCTTATAATGTTCAATTTATGTGTAAGTAGCGTAAAAGACAGACTTTGCTGGGAGAGGCAGTTGAGTCCACCATGGTCCCTGAGCATCCCTCCATGTTCTTGTTGGATACTGACTGCTCGTTATCCAGGCCATTTCTCAGGGCTGTGTCTGCAGTGAGCAACCCTTCTGGATGATGTAATGTCTCCCCCTGGACAAAGAACGACCTTGCTTCTGCTTACTATAAAAGTGGTGATTCTCCCAAGCTTAGTGTTCCTCTCTTATAACACAACCCACTGTGTGTGTAGGCATCTATCAGGGGCTCTTTGTGTTGCCCTAGTGGGACTTGGGAAGCACAGGGAACTGACACAAGCCAACATGAAGCTCTGGCTACTATTAAGTCCTTTGTCTCTGACCCAGGAGTTTCATGTCTTCTGCCAGCATCCTATGAAACTGAAACAGACCAACTGTACGTAGGGCAAAATCTCAGACCCTGCACGGTTCTTGACAGTTCTGCCAATGAGTAGAAGATGCTGACATAGCCAATCTTTTCTGGAAAAGATGAAGGCTCCCATGGGGTGGGTTAGGAGATATGAAAAGACTCCCTGGAATCTAGAAGTAAATGCTCTTGCCCAAGTCTTGGGAAAGGGGGAGGGGATAAGCCCCCACCCCCACCCAACTTGTTAATGTTTAGAAGCTAAGAAGTCAGAAACAAAAAAAAAAAAAAAAAAAAAAGACCCATTGCCATCAAGTCGATTCCGACTCACAGCAACCCTATAGGATAGAGTAGAACTGCCCCATAGAGTTTCCAAGGAACTGCTGACCTTTTTGTTAGCAGCTGCAGTACTTAACCACTAGGCCACCAGGGTTTCCTAAGCAGTCAGAGGTTGGATTAAAACAAGCCATCCAAATAGTGCTTTTCATTGCTCACTCACCTCTGGGTGGGAGGAGGAAGGATGTTATCATGACAATGTGGGAGCAAGCCCCAGGACCCTAGACAAGAGAAATTTGGCTGTGGCTGCTGAGTCATGGGGTCCCAAAAGCTGAAACAATTAGTGCAGGCAATGGTAGACTGAAAATAGAAGTTTGTTGAGCCCAAGTGGGCAGCTGCTCAAAACCAAAAATGTGAAACCTTGCTACTGGCATGGAACAGCTCTGTCCTTCCACACCCTTGATGCCTCCCTCCCCCTCTACTCTGGCTTTAGCTACTTCAAGGAAAAAGAAGAGTGTGCTGGGGAACTTTGGGGAAGAAAGTGACTAAGATTTTAATAGCTGTTAGATACTGGTGTCCAAGTTACCATCCTACCCAGTCCACGGGGAAGGGCATAATGGGCACAGGGGTGACCAAAGACACTGAGGACTGGGGGGCACTGAGGAGTTGCAGTCGTGTATGTGGGGTGACAAAAACAAAGATCCCAAACCTAGGTGCTCTCTAGACACTGGGAAGAGCATCGCGGAGCAGGCACCAACCTTGGAGAACCAAAAGAGAAACAAAATCTCTCTGAATGCCTCCCTCAACCCTCTGCTCCTTTCTGAGCTCCCAGCCAGGGAGATACCATAATTTCCTGGGAGCTGTTTTATCCCTTAATGTGCAGGTGTTAAACTTCTTGTTCCCATAGGGGGAAAAGTGACTAAATTCAACAGACAGGGTTGGAACAAAACTTGCAGTGAAGAAAAAGATGACTCTGTGGGTGGGCCCCTCTGGGCCAAGTCATTGACTATTGATATTAAAATATTTAACTGGTATTGATGTGTTATGTGTTTGTACTGTAAATGCTCATAAAGTGTCAGAGGAGATTCTCCCATTCAGGACATTACTACACATTGAAAAATCAGCCAAACTCCCTGCCATCTGCTACCAGTGGATGGCTGAGGATGTAGTGTAAGTGCTCTACTCTCTCATGCCTAAAGTTTTCAGTATACAGATAATGAACGGGTGGTTGACGAGTCAGAAGTTTCAGTCTCAATAGCCTTGACTGTGCTGTTATCACACCTCCACCAGCAGGGATGGCTGATAACCGCCCCCCCCCCCAAATTCAGGGCACTGCTTGCCAAGTAAAGTTTCTTAAGACTGTTTTGGACAGATTTACAGCACTCAATCCCACTGGCAGTCAAATAAACAACTACTGTCTCTTTGGTCCCCCACAACCAAAAAGGAGGTACTACACCTTATTAAGACTCTTTGAGTAATGGAAACAGTGCATGATGTTATTAATGGCAGCTCCCAGATGAGAGCATGTACAATCACATGGACCAGCACAACCTTGTCTCAATCTGATCATCTACTTCTTAGTGTCTGAATGGTCTCGGATTATGCCATGTATGGCAACCGAGGCTGTAACTACTCAGTGATAGTACCCATGTAACTTAATCAAACTTATACAATGGTGACCTAAATCAGGCTGAACAAGGATGACCTGGGTTCCTTCAGGTTATGGTGCTTGTATGTGGAGAAAATGGAGCATGGAATGTCTCTCCACTGGGGATGGTGGTTGCTTTTTGGCCTATCTATTGCCCCCCTGTAATTATTGGCAATGACAAAGATCAGCAGGTCAAAGCTCCCTTGCACAAGTCATAATGGAAAATAAATTGGCCTTAGACTACATCCTGGGTGCCTAATTAAAAAAACCTATTTGCTCCCCCTTGGGACTTAATCATAGTTGACTGAATCCTGGACCCCGGGGGAACACAACTGCAGAACAATACTGGATTGGCTTCATCGTGCTGCTCAGAGTCCTGTTGATGGCTGCCTTAAATAATGAGACCAACTGAATGGATCTGGTAGTGACCAAACCACCTCTATTGATCGGATTAATCATAGTGGCTGACAGCGTGGCATATTCATTTGAAAATTCAAGTTTGACCAAGAAAACGTCAGCCTGAGGGATGGATTGTTGGAAGAGGCTATCACCATAGGCTCTGAGCATCCCTATACTTTTGGGTATGCCAAGAATGCAAGGCCCTGACTGAATTTTACCCAGTTCATGTCTCAGGGTTATGCGCGCAGTGATCAGTGTTGAGGCATAAGGTGAGACATGAGGCAACAACTCCCAAGCTCAGCGTTCCTCTTCTGTAATACAACTCACTGTGTGTGCAGGCTTCCAATCATTGGCCCTTTTCATTGCCCCATAGAACCTAAGGTAATGGGGAACTGACACAAACCAATATGAAGTTATGGCTGCTCCTTTTGCTATGAATAATAAATTCCTTTGTCTCATGTCTTCTGTAGCATTCTATGAAACAGTTAACAGGCAAACTTGCTGGTTTGTAAGTAGGGTAAAATCTCAGTCACTACAGTTATTGACACACAAATTATTCTCTTACTGGTAATTTAACACTTTGGGTACTATAACTAAGCTACTGTTAAATTTATTATTAGCATATTACAAACGACTATTTTTCAAGGATTTAGTCAATAGAACTACAAAAATAAAAAGCCCTCTGATTCCTTTGAATTTATCTGCATGTGTCCGTGTCCTGTGACAATTTCACTGTCTGTCTGAAGTACTAACAGTACCAAATCCAATGCTCGGCGCCACGCCTCAATCTTTGGTGTAACAATGTCATAAACTCTTGGAATCTGCTCCAATTTATTTGAAATGCCTGAATTAAAAACTCCACTATTCAGTTCACTATATTCACTCAAGATGTAAGATGAAGGAGAGCCAGAGTCTATAGCATTTCGTAGATGATGTTGAATGAATGTGCTGGCTTCAAATTCTGATGAGTAACTGGCAGTGTTATACATGAGAGTTGAAAGGTATTTGTGCCATCCATTTGCTAAGCATTTAAGCACAGTTGGCCTGTATAGTGCTAGAGATGAAGCCAGCCAAGAGGAACTATTATGAAGCCATCCTGAATAGGCTTGGTTTCCTTTTTTCAGAGATTGCTCTTCAATAATTTGAAGATGGCTAAGACACAAAAATTCAACTGCACCGCCTCCAATGAAGACCTTTTGCTCTTTTAGAGCATAATACAGACGAGAGGCACAAGTCCAGAACCTGTCTTCTTTGGTTTGCATCTGTGCAGTGACTGGGCCAGTGAACACTGCTGTAACCAAATTAATGCCTTCTGTCTTTAACAAGATTGCCATTCTGTTTTTCTTATCTACAACATCTACGGAAACACTTCTCCAGAAGGTCACATAGACCCCATTGCCCACGCAGTCTTCATTCACTTGTGTAATGTAGGCCACCTGTACTGCTCCGGTAGCCTCTGCAAAAGCCTGCATCACACTGCCATTCACTGACCCAATTACTAAACGTTTACTATACACGCATTTTTCATTTAAGTGGTCAGATACATTTCCTCGTGCCAGGACAAGGTGCACATTGAACTGAGTTAATATCTGTAACACATGATGTGCCCACAGTTCTTCTGTGCTGTCTTGGTTAACCTTCATACTTTCCAACACTGTTTTAATATTTGTAGACTTATTAAATCCCAGGTGGCGATAATTCTCTGTAAGGTCACCTTGAACGAGAACTACCCGGACAGGCTGATCCTTCAATTCCTTGATCAGAGCAGTACTAGATATTGATGCAAGAGTGATATATCCTGGACAGACACAAGTAGAAGTTTCAGGTAAACCTGGCAAACAGCAAGTGAAGATTCTTGAAACGTCAAACATGAACGGCAGGGAACAGCTACCTTGTTGCATACACGCATTTTGATACTGCAGCCGTACTGCTGCTTCTACTAATTTCATGCTGCTGTGATCACCGTGACTCAAACCCACTGCCAACTCTACCAAATCATTACAACTGTAAGTTTTGGAAGTAGCTGCACTAGGTTGTTCTAGTCCATCTGGTTTGCTTACCCAATGATTATTATCTGTGCTATTAAAATGCCTACTGTGGGTTAGTATTGACTTTCTGCAGCTGGTATCTGCAAGCCGACTGTTAATCAGAGTTTGCAGAGTTTGTGATGCGTCTTTATTTGCTTCAACCTTAGCCTGAAGTCTGAAGAGTTTACATGATTTAACAGGTCTCCCAGAGAGACTGTAAATGGTCATTGATTGAGAGACATCTTTGAGTTCATGGTCCTTCTGTATCAAACCAGTATCTGAAGGGATCTGTAGAAAAGGGCACAAATTGACACTTGGTGTTTCAAAACCAGAAAATGTATTTGTGTTGTCTACATGGTCAAATAGATTATGGATAGGTACTTGAAGGGAAACCACCTCTTCACTGCAAGAGTTCAAGCCTTCTGACATTACTGATACTATTACTGGAATCGGGACACCCAGATGAAGACATTCTTCAACAGCACTGCTCCATGCACCAACAAAAAACAAAAGAGTATTGGTTCCAGTTCCATATGTGTCATTGTGTGCTTGAACTGCTTCATTGAGAAGCTGTCCCACTGCACTAGTTAAATCCAAACTTTCAAGAAGCCTTACTGGTGAACTGATTAACACACTTTCATGAGACTCTTCATCTATAATAAATTTGGATGATTTTACTGGGCCAAGGAAAGTTCTTCCTGTTTCTGCAAATGACAAAAGCTGCTGAAGTCCCACGTGTCTTCTGTTGTTTATGACCCTGCAAGCCATCACCATGAATCATCTTCTGCAAAAACAATAAAAACTTGGAACTTTAGTGTACTTTATGGTTAAAAATGCCATACAGAAAGAAAAATAAACTATAGTTCCTGACTTTTAAGGAGCTTCTGGAATACACAATTTCTACTAAATGTGGTCGTGCCATGATACAGTATTATAATGATATTAATGATAAAGGTATGGGGGCATAGAGGAGGAGCACTGTCTCAGGCTGGGTTCTCTAAAGGAGCAAAACCAGTTAAGTGCACATATAAACGTATATAGATTTACTTCAAGGAAATGGCTTATGCAATTGTGGAGGCTGGCAAGTCCCAAATCTGTGGGTCAGGTGACAGGCTGGAGACTTCTCCTGACTCACGTGGTTACAGGAGCTGACAAACCCAAAATCTGCAGGTCAGGTGGCAGGCTGAAGGCTTCTCATGTTCCAAGAACCAGAGGTCAGAGGATGACATGATGCAAGGAGGATCAGAAAGAGAGAGCAAGCTTTGCCAGAACATCCATATATACACTGGATGCAGACCACATCCCCAAGGAAACTCTCCTTCTGACTAACTGGCTGCTCACATCAGATCACATGATTACATAAAGCCTGCCAAACCACTGAGAATCATGGCCTAGCCAAGCGGACACATAATATTCACCATCACAAGCACTTATTATAAAAGGGGAAGTGGATAATGCAGGCAGTATGTTTCCAGAAGAAGGCAATCCTTGAGGTGAGTCTTGAAGAACAACTTGAAAGAGTCAGCAAATTGAAGGGGTGATAGTAAATGCAAATACATGCGAAAAAACACCATGTAATGGGGTAACACAAGTAGTTTGGTTTTACAGGAATATAAAGAATGAAAACATGCCATGTTTCTAGTTACTAAACCATGAAAAGTGACTGGGGAAACTGCTTCAAGAATGTACTTTGCACATTTTTCTTGCTCCAACTTCAAAGAAGTAAGTGAGATAAAGCAAAAGACCAGGCAGAACTTAATACTCTTCCTGAACCCACTGTTGGAGAATCCAGTATGATTTTCAGTAAATATAAGGGTGGCACAGTACTTAAGAGCTACGGCTGCTAACCAAAAGGTTGGCAGTTCGAATCCACCAGGCGCTCCTTGGAAACCCTATGGGGCAGTTCTACTGTCCTATACGGTTGCTATGAGTAGGAATCGACTGGACAGCAATGGGTTTTGGGTATGATATTTACTCTACAGAAGGCATTGCTGACCTTTTGGTTAGCAGCCCAACTCTTAACCACTGCTGCCCCCAGGACTCCAGAGAAGGCACTGCAGCAGACATAAAAGGTCCTGACGTGTCTGTTACAAGTTTTAAGAGGCTATCACCTCTTTCATTCCTACCAGGAACTCAGGGCTCTACGCTACCATAGCCCTTGTCCCCTACTCTTTTAGCTGGTCCCTTGTCCAAGGTTGGAGCAGCTACAGCTGCTAATCAAAAGGTTGGCAGTTGGAATCCACCAGTCGCTCCTTGGAAACCCTATGGGGCAGCTCTACTCTGTCCTATAGGGTCGCTATGAGTTGGAATCGACTCAACAGCAATAGGACGGGTTTTCGCCAAGTTCAGGACTGGCCAAAACCATCAGGTCTGACCCTCTGGATAAGAGTTTGCTTTGGTTTACAGCAGTTACACGGGCATCTGCACCTCAGCTGTCAACTGGATTATCACGCTACCTGTGGCCTATTCTAGAGTGAGGATCTACACTTAACGTGGCTGAACAACCGGCCAGATCTCCTTGGTGGGAGAGGGGAGTCTGCAGCAAATAACAACACAGTTGAGTAAAAACTGTCCCCATACCCACTTCCTTCCAACTAGATTGCTGCCCCACGCCCCTCCCATACAGAAATTTTAAAGCCTACCTAGCCAGAGGAGTCCTTGTGTCGTTGTTGTTGTGTGCTCTCCAGTTGATTCCGACTCATAGCGAACCGATGGGACAGAGTAGAACTGCCCCATAGGGTTTCCTAGGCTGAAATCTTTACCAGAGCAAACCGCCATGTCTTTTCTCCTGTGAGATCCTTTGCCGGGTTTGAACCTCTGACCTTTCGGTTAGCCAAGCACTTAAACACTGCACCACCCGGGCTCCTTACAGGAGTCCTTAACCCGTTGCCATCAAGTCGATTCCGACTGATAGAGACCCTATAGGCCAGAGCAGAACTGCGCTATAGGGTTACGAAGGAGCGGCTGGTGGATTCGAACTGCCGACCTTTTGGTTAGCAGTTGAGCTCTTAACCACTATACCACCAAGGCTCCAGAGGAGTGCTTAGGTGGTGCAAATGGTTAAACTCTCGCTCAGCTGCCAACCTAAGGGTTAAAGGTTCAAGTGCACCCAGAGGTGCCTAGGAAGGCCTGGTGATCTACTTCCAAAAAAATAAGCCATTGAGAACTCTATGGAAGACAGTTCTACTCTGATACACGTGGGGGCGCCATGAGTCGGAATCCACTAGTTGGCAACTGGTCAACTGGACCCTGCCAGAATCCCTGCAGTCTATTCCGACTCACAGCGACCCTACAGGACAGAGCAGAACTGCTCCACAGAGTTTCCAAGGACCGCCTGGTGGATTCCAACCTTTTGGTTAGCAGGCGTAGTACTTAACCAGTACACCAGCAGAGTTTCCAACCAGGGATGAGGAGTGGCAAAAAGCCAAGCCCCAGGCACCGTGGAGGTATAATGCCTACGGGCACAGAAAATAATCCCAGCCAGATGATAAAACAAGGTTGGTCAATTCACCTAAAACCTACCAGGCCGGAGATTCTAATCCTTTCCCCAGCTCCAAGAGGTCAGAAAGACAAACAAGAGCTTCCCCCGCACCCCACGTCTTCACCAAGCCTTAGCAGTCGGTGGAGGTGGAAGCACCTCGCTACTAACCTCTCTCTTTTCTCCACTCCCATAGGACGTTGAGTCGGTTCTGGCTGGAACCAAGACCAGGAAGACGCCAAAACGACCAAGCAAAGTGGCCTCCTACCCCGTCCGCAGTTTGCGCATGTGCGAGGGGAGGGGGCAATCTGGCTGAGTCGGTGGGCCTGGTCGCTAAGAAACCAGAGAGGAAAGTTCCGCTTGGGAAAGCCGGGAGCGTCACGCTATTGGTACAGAGTAGGCAGAGGGGGCTGGCCCAAGAACACTTTTCTTTTTGTCTATTGGATGGAGGGTTTGTCAATCAGTAAGGGCAGTTTGGGTGGGTGGGGCTGCGCAGCAGACGTGTGAGAGCGGCCTTAGCAACCGCGTGAGAGCGGCCTTAGCAACCGCTTTGCAGCTGTGAGGATTACTGTTGGGCGGAGCGGCGGGAGGGTGAGGCGGCGCTGGTCCCGGCCGAGTGCGTCGGTTGGGGAGATGGTGAGTGCGAATCTCTAACGTCCTGGTGGGACTGGGCCTGGGGCTGAAGTTTCTCCTCAGAGTAAGGAAGGGATTTTGTTTGGCTTATGAAATGCGTTATTCTTCCCCTTTTCATGATCCGCTGGTGTCGTTAGTAAAGTCTCCGCACGTTGCCACAGAGAAGAGCGGTCCTCCAATTAATTTTTCCCTTCATCTTCCCCATCATTTCGTAGGTTTTTTAGGCTAACTGGCTTCTGCTTGGGAGAGGCAGTCTGGTGGCATTCGTGGATCCCTGTCCTTTTCTTTGAAAGGTTTGTCCCAGGCTAGTGCTCTCTGAAGCTGTTTGCAAAGGGCTTGCAAAGCAGATTTCCCCGCTTGCAGTCTCCTTATTGTGCCCATGCCTTGGTTGGAGTTCATCTGTGTTTATAATGGAACCGGGATTCATCTTTCAGAAGTCTAGAATTTTTATTTTTTAAGTAATTTCCCAGAATGTTAGCTTCAAATTGAGTTGAAAGATATGGAGACCTGTCTCCTTTTAATTATTTTTGAGCACCCCTAGAGGGGCTAATCACGTACAGTGGACACTTTGCTTTCATAATCTGCAAAACAAACGAAACAAAAAACAACCATTGCCCGCAGGTCGATTCCAACTCATAGTGACTGCGTAGAACAGGATAGAACTGCTCTATAGGGTTTCCAAGGGGCAGCTGATGAATTCAAACTGCTGACCTTGTGGTTAGCAGCCGGGTTCTTAACCACTGCAGTACCAGGGCTCCAAGACCCTTGATTATATGGTTTGTGCTCCTTTAGACTTAGAAACAACTGACTTAACATAATTTAAATATCTAGTGATAGGCAACTGTTTCAACAGCGTACTGGCTAACCAGTGGCTTTCATTTACTCCATTATCAATGCTGAATAAATTGACCTATATTTATATAAAGTTTTTCACTTTTCCGGGTGGAGGAAATAAAACCCAAAAGCCAATAAAATAGTTTCAGAACTCTCTCAACTGTTTGCATCTCTAAAAATGTAATTGTTAAATCAAATCAGCTTATATTTTGTTAGAACTTCAAAATCATACAATACTATAATTCACATTTCTAGAATTTAAGATTTTTATTTTATATCATTGTGTTCCTGGCATCTACGAGGTACAAATAAATATTGAATAAATGAAAGAGTGAAGTATAAGTTTTTCCCATACTTGAGAATGAATACCTGTAACACATATATTACAGCTTTTAAATTTAGAAATGAAAAATAAAAGTAGGAATAGTTAGAGTGAGACTTAGCCACAGTTACTTGAAAGAAAAAAAATTTAGTGGAATCTCCATAATAGATTATACAAAGGTTCAGCTTGATCAGAAAATAAGCTTTTAAAACATTATTGTTCAATAAACACTATTGAAGACCTAGCATGTGCTCATTTGGTAGGGTTTCAGATATGACAAAGAAAATGGCCCAGTTCTCAAGTAGCTGCTGTCACAGACTAGTAGGGGAAAAAGAGAAGTAAATAGACCATTACAATAGAGAGTGAAAAGTGCTTTGATAGAGTAGCACAGAACGTTTGTAGGAGCACCTTGGAGAAAATGAAGGTAGAAGGAGATGTGTGAACTTCTTGACCAGGTAAAGATGGGGGAGAGGGCTTTCTTGGCCTAAGGAACAAAGGCCACCAAAGACTGTAGATTCTTGTTGGGAAGCAATTGAGAACCATTGAAAAAGGTACGCCAGAGAATAACACACACAGAGTTGCTTTTTAGGAAAGCAAACACGTAGGGAATGCACTGGGAGGCTGAAGACTGGAGTCAAAGAGACTAAGAAACTTGAAGTGATCCAGGTAGGAAATAGCAGAACTAAGGTAGTTTCAGTAAGGATGGAATGGGAAGGGCAGATTCAAAACCTCTTTAAAAGGCAGGTCTAAAATAAACCGGTCGGAATTTGGATGTGGGGTGAGGAAAAGGGAGGAGTTAAGACTTCTGAAATAATGGATGCCTGTGCTGATAGCACTGGTTAAGAGCTCAGCTGCTAACCAAAAGGTCGACAGTTCGAATCCACCAGCTGCTCCTTGGAAACCCTGTGGGGCCGTTCTGCTCTGTCCTATAGGGTTGCTATGAGACAGAATTGACTCGACGGCAATGAGTTTGTTTTTTTTGTGTGTGTGCTGGTAGTGCTTCAACAAAAGTAAATGGGCATTTAAGGATGCTCATAATAGTAAAAGTGAGACTGTTCAACAGTCTAGTACATATCACTTAGATTCTGTGTTAGAAATAGAAACTACTCTGTAGCTAGAAAGGAATTGAAAACAGAGAATAAGATGCTTAAAAACGAGTGGACTGATGAATGGATAAATAAAATGTAATACATAATACAACGGAATATGACTCAACCATAAGGAGTGATGAAGTCCTGATACAATGCTACCACATGGATGAACCTTGAAAACATTATGCTGAGGGAAAGAAGTCCGTCACCAAGGCTCAAATATTGTGTGACTCTACTTATGTGAATTATCTAGAATAGGCAAGTACACAGAGGTCCAAGTTTATTCGTGGTTACCAGGGGTTGGCGGAAAGCGGTAATGGGGAGTTATTGCTTAGGGGGTATTGAGTTTCTGGAGTGATGAAACCTTTTGGAAATAGGTAGTGGTGAATGCAATTAATGTCACTGAATTGTATACTTAACGATTAAAATGGTAAACTCTTTGTTATATGCATTTTACCACAATAAAATCTTTTTAAAATGTGGGGTGGAGGGAAGAGGGGGAAGAATCCGCAGCTGCCACCCAACTCTTAACACATGTTAAACTGACGGTGTGTACACTGGAATGCAGAGTCCAGTTGTTGCCTCCACACCACTGCTTGTTAACACAAAGCCCGAAACAAGATACTGAAATAAGGCTGCAGAAGAACCCACAACTCTGGCCTTGCTTGCCAGCAGAAAATAGCAAATATCAGCAGGCAGATGGCTTCCATCTTCCAAATGTTAGGTGAATACAGATAACTGATCCAACAGTTATTTCTTATCTAGATCCCTGGAGTAGTTTTTCACCTGGAAAATTGTAGTTTTTCACTTTTCAGTCTCTGCAGTATAGGAATGCATATAAGAAGAAGGTAGGAAAGGATACCATGTTCCAATCGAGCATATCCTACAAAATATGTAAGTTTTATTGTAAGACTTATAGGTATATATGAAAGTAAATATTCCTTAAATGACTGCTTTTCAGATGTACCAAGTACATACCAAGTTGTATTCCAACATAACACCGTCCACTTTTTCCAGCATGCCTTCTTTTGCTGCTTCTCTCCCTCAATAGGCATTAATTTTAAGGAAAAAACCTAAGTGGAAAAACAGGACCAGGCTTTCTATTAAGACATTAATAACAAAAACACAAATGTTAGCAAGGGGAAGGGGGAGATTGTTGAAATTCATTATTTAATAATAAGAAAGAGGATACTTGAATATGTTTACTGATTAGAGTTCATTAGTTCAACATCACTTAGTCTAGTTCTGGCAGCTTTTCCAGTTACATAGTTTAAATTTCACCCACATGTGTTTTTCTTACAGGCATCCAACTACCACACGAGTTTAGACCAATGGAAGAAAAGAGCAGCAAAAATTGAATTGAATGAAACCCAAAAGCAAGAAATTAAAGAGGCCTTTGATTTATTTGATGTTGATGGATCTGGCACCATAGATGTGAAAGAATTGAAGGTTCTGAAATTATTTCTAATTCTAAAATATTTAAAAAGCCATGTTTATTTGTGGCAATCTTTAAATAACAGTAGTTTTCTGAAAGCTTGATGTAAAGTCTCCTCACCACATACACCTGCCCTAGGAATTGTGAAGCATTTTAATCCTATTTTATAAATGAGGAAAATTTGTCCAATAAGCCAAAGCCCAGGGTGTGATGGTGACATACCCTGTGGTACCAAACCCATTGCTGTTGAGTTGATTCTGACTCAGTGACAGAGTAGAACTGCCTTATAGGGTTTCTAAGGCTGTAAATCTTTACGGAAGCAGACTGCCACATCTTTCTCCCATGGATTGGCTGGTGGGTTTGAACAATTAACCTTTCGGTTAGAAGCCGAGTGCTTACCCACTCTGCCACTTGGGCTCCTTCTCCTGTGGCACAGTAGGACTGTAACCTAGGTCTGCTGACCCACTTTCTAGGAGTATGCCCAGTCCATGGTAAAAAAGAGAGAAGCTAGTGTTAATAGATAATCAAGCTAGGAATGAGATCTTGGCAACAATATCGTAATTTATTCGTTTCTTATTCCAGATTGCAATGCGGGCTTTAGGATTTGAACCAAAGAAGGAAGAAATTAAAAAAATGATAGCTGAAATTGACAAAGGAAGAACTGGCACCATTAGTTTTGAAGATTTTTTTGCCATAATGAGTGTGAAAATGGTACAGTAGTGATTTTGCTTTTCAAAGAAATATAGGCAATAGCCTTCTACATTTTGGGGCTGGAGCAATCAGAGGTTTCATAAAGGACAGATTGCAAATGGGTATTTAATGATGAGCGGGCTAGATAGAAATAGCAAGATTAAAGATGAGAACGTATGTTTTCAGGGGGCAATGAGAAGACTTTCCAGTCTGGAGAAGAGGCTTTTTGTTAGGAAATAATGAGGATATATGATAGGATAAAAAAAATGGGGCCATAATCTTGAAGGCTGGAATTCAGCCAACATTTATTGAGTGCCTATTTTTGCCAGACACTATTTTAGGGAGTGTGGAGCTAAAGCATTAAATGAGACAACAAGCTCCCTATTCTCATGGCACTTACATTTTGGGGGATGGATCTGAACTACTGGGGTTAATAAGAGATACAGTCTCTTTACCACCCTGTGCCTCTTTCACTTCAGTAACCCCTGAGCTTAAATATCTTGAGGGCAGATGTGAGGGCATTAGAACAATTGTTAAAAATCAGAGCAGTAGCTGAGCTCACTTACCTGGTATGTTGCTTTCCTGGGCCACAAAGATTTAATAGGTCTAGCTTGATGGAATAAATAAATAAAAGACTAATGACGTTTAGTTGTTTCTTTTTTTTTTTTTAAAGAGTGAAAAAGATGAAAAAGAAGAAATATTGAAGGCTTTCAAATTATTTGATGATGATGATACAGGAAGCATAACACTAAGCAATATCAAGAGGGTTGCTAAGGAACTAGGGGAAAATTTAACCGATGATGAACTTCAGGTAAATTTTGCTTTTTTTTCTGTAGTATGGAACTGTACAAATGTGAGTTAGCATAATTACATTCTTACCTTAGCTGTGCTCATAAATACATTTAAAATAAAATTTGGTTTTAAGTATGTATTTGAATATATCATTATTCCTTTTTAACAGATTTCATATGTTTATATTTTGTTTTACAGGAAATGCTTGATGAAGCTGATCGTGATGGGGATGGAGAAATAAATGAGGAGGAATTTTTGAGAATGATGAAGAAGACCAGTCTTTATTAATACTGTTTCTTTGTTCTTTTCGGAAAATTGTTAACAAATTTGTATTTGTTATGCAGTTCTGTAATTTGATATCTGAATGTATTCATTTTCAATTTTTAGTTTATATGTACAAATTGGTCTTTTGATGTCTAATCCACACGGCAAGTGACATATTTCTGCCAGTATATCGTTACGTCTGTAGCGTCAAGAATCAGAAAATGGAATGACTTCCTTTAACTGTGAATCCAAGAACAGTATTAATTTCAGCTGCTGTTTTTAAAACCTCAAGTTCCAGAGTTAGAAGTTTTTTTTGAGTTTCATGAACTTGGCCCCACATCCAAATAAATTTGGCAAACATGCCATTTCTTTTCCTATTATTTTCCGTTTATGCAACTCTAAAAAACCTGATGAGCATTTGCTTTTTAATCAGTTATTGGAGTATGTAAAGTATTAAATAAAACTGGCAACTATGTTATTTGCTGATTTTCTTACAGTTGTAAAAAAATTCAAAGCAGCACTTGTCCATATTTCCCTCTAAGTTTGACTAGAAGAGGGGGAAAGTTAGCACTTATTTAATGTCTCTATGCTAGGACCGGGGCTGGGAATTTTTCATATTGTGTCAGTTAATGTATAACAACCTCGGAAGCTGATGGTACTAGTGTCATCTTAAATATGAGAAAACTAAAGTTCAGAGAGGTTTTAAAAATTGCTCAATTTCCCATAGATAATAAAACACAATTCCAAATCTTGTATTCTTACTACTCATGCTGCTCCCCTATGGATAAAAACTTTCAGGATAATTAAGTGTACATTTCCTAAGTCATTGTCCTGTCTATGACTCTCTTGTAATTTAACTTACTTTTCTATGAGAGAGCCAAACTTTCTGAAACTGAAGTAATAGTCTTTGGGCAGGAAAGGCTTGTAGAAAATGTAACTTTAAAGGCCCTGCCTTGCACATTTTTAGCTCCAAGTGAAATGCAGACTGGAAGTTTTTGTTTTGTCAACATAAGAGATTTTATTTGCCTGAAGGAAGAATGGCATATGCTCATGGACATTCTTGAGTATTTTCGCAGTATTTTTAATTCCTAATCGTGGTGTTTAGCAGCTGAACTCTTAACCATTGCGCCGCTAGGGCTCCAACATTTTCTAGTCCATTAAAAAAAAAAAAAACCTACTAAACATGCTTCAGTGTGAGAATTTTCGCCTTTAAATTGTCAAAAGATATTTTTAAGTGGGTAATACACTTAAGGAGCCCTGGTGGCAGAGTGGTTAAGAGCTTGGCTGCTAACCAAAAGGTCAGCAGTTCAAATCCACCAGCTGCTCCTTGGAAACCCTGTGGGACAGTTTCTATTCTGTCTTACAGGATCACTATGAGCCTGAATCTACTCAATGGTAATGGTTTTTTTTTTTTTTTTTTTCCAAATACACTTAAAGGAGTTCCCTGAGTGGTGTAAATGGTTAACCACTAGGCTATTAACTGAAAGATTGGAGGTTCAAGTCCACCCAGAGGCACCTTGGAAGAAAGGCCTGGTGATCTACTTCCAAAACATCAAAAAAAGCCCCAAAGCCATTACCATCAAGTCAATTCCAACTCATGGTGACCCCATGTATTACAGAGTAAAATTGCACCCTAAGGTTTTCTTGGCTGTGATCTTTATGGAAGCAGATTGCCAGACCACAGAGCCACTGGGTGGGTTCAGACTGCCAACCTTTAGGCTAGTTGTCAAGTGTAAACCATTTGCACCACCCAGGGACCTTTCTGAAACGTCACAGCCAATGCAAATGCTATAGTGCGCGGTTCTACTCTGAAACACATGGGGTCACCGAGAGTCAGAATCTACTCAATGGCAACTGGTTTAGTGCGCTTAAAAATACACATGAACAAGCTCAAAAAGTTCCAAATAAAAGTCTCTTTGCCATTCAAGCCCCAGTTCGCCCCAGAGACAACTTTTTTTTTTTTTTACGAGTTTATGAATCCTTACACACATGTATCTAGATTTGTTTACACAACTGACAGCATACTACAGGAATAGAGAATTTACTCTGTAAAGTGCATGAATGTATCTCCAAAACCTACAGCAAACATCTTAATGGCAAAATGTTAAAGGCTTTTTTAAAGCCTGTGAGCAGCCATCTAAGATCCTCCACTGGTCTCACTCCTTTGGAAGCAAGGGAGAATGAAGGGAACAGGATACAAGGAAAATATAAGTCCAAAGGACTAATGGACCACAGCTACCAAGGCCTGCACCAGACTGAGTCCAGTACAACTAGATGGTGCCTGGTTACCACCACTGACTGCTCTGACCCGGATCACAACAGAGGGTTCTGGACAGAGCTAGAGAAGGATGTAGAACAAAATTCTAACACACACAAAAAAAGACCAGATATACTGACCTGACAGAGACTGGAGAAACCATGAGAGTATGGCCCCCAGACACCCTTTTAGCTCAGTGGTGAAGTCACTCCCGAGGTTCACCGTTCAGCCGGGGATTGGACAGCCCCATACAACAGAATGGGACTAATGAGGCACAGTAGTCCAGGGACAAGGACTAGAAGGCAGAAGGGGACAGGAAAGCTGGTGATAGGGAACCCAAGGTTGAGTAACGACAGTGTTGACATGTAGTGGGGTTCTTAACCATTGTCATAGGGGAATATGTGTACTGTTTAATGAGAAACTATTCTGTAAACCTTCATCTAAAGTGAGAATAGCAGCACAACTGGAAGAATGTAATTGACGTAACTAAATTGTACATGTAGAAATTTTTGAAATGGTGTATCTTTGGCTATGTACATTTTCACCAAAAAAAAGGTCATCCAAGGCCGAGAAGGGAGCGTATTGACATGTTGTGGGGTTGTCAACTAATGTCATAAAGCAATATGTATACTGACTGTTTAATGAGAAAATATTTGTTCTGTAAGCCTTGTCCTATTCAGCATTATACTGAAGTGCTAGCTAGTGAATAAGGTAAGAAAAAAAAAAAGATTGGAAGGGAAGAAATAAAATCCTCTATTTGCAGATGACATGAAGCATACATAGAAAATGCAAATAATTTATACATTGCTGGATACAAGGTTAGTATGCAAATACAAATAAATACAATTGTATTTTTACAAAGCAGCTATAAGTAGAAAAGTGAACAATTTTAAGGGACTATAGTAGCATTAAAATATAAAAATTCTATGAATAAATCTAATGAAGAAGCATAAGTTTTCTACAGCAAAAACTTTGAAAGAATACTAGAGAAATTAAAGACCTAAATAAATAGAGGAATACTATTATGTGCATAGACCGGAAGACAATATTATAAAAATGTCAGTTCATCCCTTATTGATCTATAAATATAGTGCAATAAAAATCTTAGGAGGCAGTCTTGTGGAACTTGATAAGCTGATTCTAAAATTTATATGGAAGCCCAAGGGGCCAAGACACACACAGAAGGAAAGACAAAATGATAGGACTAGCTCACCCGAATATCAAGACATATTATAGAGGACCAGTGGGATGGAACAAAGTCCTGGAATAGATACACACATATGTGGCATTGATTTAAGACAAAAGTGGCTCTGCAAAGCTGTGGGAAATTTTCATAATAATAAACAATGGTTCTGAGTCAATATATCCACAAGAAACAAAATAAGACATGACCCCTACCTTACACCATACATAACAATCAATTCTCAGTGACTGTTGATCTAGATGTGAAAGACAAAAATATAAAGCTTCTAGGAGATAACATAGGAAAATACCGCCATGACCGTGGGGTAAGATTCTTAATTTGGGCACAAAAAGTACTAACCTTGTGGGAAAACACCGAGAAATTTACCTATGTTATAATTAAGAATTTCTCACCAAAAGAGTGGAAGTGCAAGCTACAAGGTGGAAATATATTTTCAGTAAATACATCTGACTAAATACTTGTTTATAGACCATATAAAGAACTCTTAGAAATCAGTAAGAACAAGACAAGCAACTCTTTTTTTTTTTTTAAATGGGCAAAAGGCTTGAGCAGGCACTTCACAGAAGAGAATATCCAAATGGTCAATAAACATGTGAAGAATTAACATTAGGGAAGTGGTAGAATGAATAACACCCCCCAAAAGATACCACATTCTAATCACTGGAACCTGTGAATGCTACCTTATATGGCAAAAAAGACTTTGCAGATGTGATTAAACTAAGAATCTTGAAGCGGGAGATTATCCTGGATTATCTGGGTGTGCCCTAAATGTAATCACAAGTGTGATACAAGAGAACAGAGGGAGATTTGACACACAAAAGAAGGGAAAGCAATATGACCACAGAGGCCCAGATTAGAATCATGGGACCACAAACCAAGGAATGGCAGCAGCCTCCAGAAGCTGGAAGAAGGAAGGAAGGATTGTCCCCTAGAGCCTCTGGAAGGAGCTCAGTCCTGTCAACACCTTAATCTCAGCCCAGTGAAACTGACTTCATACTTCTGGCCTCCAGAACTGTGAGAGAACAACTTTCTGTTGTTTTAAGCCACCAAGTTTGAGGTAATTTGTTGCAGCAGCCACAGGAAATTAATGCAAGGAAAACGCAAATTAATGTCACAATAAGATATAGACTATAAATGCACCAAAAACCAAACCTGTTACTGTCGAGTTGATTCCGACTCATAGCGACCCTCTGTCCTCATAGGGCAGAGCAGAACTAGCCTCATAGGGTTTCCAAGGAGCACCTGGTGGATTCGAACTGCCGAACTTTTGGTTAGCGGCTAAGCTCTTAACCACTGCACCACTAGGGCTCAGTAAATTCAGCAGAACAGCTAAAATTAACCACCAAAACTAATTAGCTAAAACTAGCCCCATGTGTGTCAGAGTAGAACTGTGCTCCATAGGGTTTTCAATGGCTAATTTTTCAGAAGTAGATCACTAGGTCTTTCTTCCAAGGTACCTCTGGGTGAGCTTGAACCTTTGACCTTTTGATTAGCAGCCGAGTGCGTTAACCATTTGGACTGCCCAGGGACTCCTCTAAAATTCCACATTATCTGTGTAAATGA